GGCCTGCAGGCCTCATTTTAAAGGCCTTGCCTGAGTGCAATTTCAAAGCTCAAACCCTGACTGCGTTGTAGTTTTCTCTAATTCTGAACTACTACCGGTCGGTCACCTCAATGACAATATCTGAAGGCGGTTGCCAGAGAAAAAAAAGGGGCCCCCAGAAAGGCTTGGAGTGAGAGATGCCCATGGACCGGCACAGAGGCGGTGGAGAAGGTATACATAGCAGTAACCCACCTGCAAAAGCCCTGGCCAAAACCTATTTCCTTTTTTTTTTTTTTTTCAATTCCTCCGAGCGGGTCGGCACTTGAGGAGGTGATAAGAGCATCTTCCTCAGAGTGGTCAAAACAGAGGACCAACCCACACGGTCGTGCACTATTTCTAAATCTAAGAGCAGGATGGCCACATTACTTCTTTCTGCTCTCACTACCTCTAGGGACTCGAGTGCAGTCAGGATGTTGTAGAAGATAGATGGCCCCTGAACCTTGGTCCTTCTCCACTCATCCGGGAAGGATCCTGCCCAACCTGATCGCCATCGTCTTAGCCAAGATCTTATAGTCTATGTTCAAAACAGAAATTGGTTGGTAATTTCTGACGTTTGCTTTATCTCCATTCTTGAACATTGAGGGATATAATTTCACCAGTCATCAGCTCAATTCTCTCTTCTTCATTTCACCAAGTGATATGACGGAACATCCATATCCGTCACAGATGTTCAAAGGATAACGCAAACACTACTACACTAGTCCCATCTTATTACACAATACTCTCAGAAGATGTCCAAGGTCAACTTGGACCCACACTGGGGCCTTCTTGATGGAGTGCCAACCAAAGATGACGATGAAAGTCAGACGTAGCAAGGGGAGCCTCTCTATGTCAGTTTCTCTCTCTTTCCCTCTCCTTCACCTCCCACTCCCTTCTACTGCCCTTCTCCTTCCTCTGGGATGGGGCGCTTCACCCTCTACCTCTATAGCCAGGATTGCGCCCTGCTACTACTGCTCCATAGCCAAGGAAGTCTTCTTCTTCGCCCTCCAGCTCCACAGCTCCTTCAGCACTCCGCCAAACTTCCCCTTCTTGGCGGAGCAGCAGCATTACCGCCAGGTAAGACACCAGTTCACTCATTGCACTCCAATGATATACTCTTCCTCCGCGGCCTTACAGCTTCACTTAGGCTGTGGTATCGCGCCTGCTGCTGCCTCTCTAACCTACCGGACATCTAGATTCGGGTCTGACTACTCATGACATTTTTGTAAGCTAACAGGCATACCGCACCTTTGTTCAGCCTGCCTGGGCTACAGGAAAATCCTTTCCCGGTACTACCCACCCCCTACTTGGTCCCTGTCCGCCCTAGTGTCTACCAGAGTGTGCCCTGTCCCGATTTCAGTCTTGCCCCTGTTGTTCCGTTATTCCTACTCTACCCCTCCCAGAGGCACAAGAAGCACAAAGCAAGCACATTGTTACACACTGACACAGCACACAGGAATCACAGCAAATCAGTCCAGCAAGCAGCATTACTCAGAAAACAACAAAAATCTAAGACTGATTTCTCTGCGGGTCATTGCACTCCCACTGACCCAAAAGCGAGGTCCCTTCGAGGTACTAGAAAGAACCCAAGGATCTGCACAAAACGCATCATATGCAAAAAATGGGTGTGCACACTTGCGCACATTGTAGTCACACATCAGTCCACGCTCGTGTGCATTGACAACAGGAGGTGCAATAGTTTGCAGTTTAGACCAAGAAATCCAGTGAAGAAGGGGGTGATACAGAAAAGGCACCAGATATTCGTATTTCCCACCTGTACCCTTGCGTTCGGAAATGCAATCAAACTCAGATCCACTATTCATGTGGTGTGGAGTCATAGATGGCCTGCTAGGGAATTCACCTGAGGTTAGTCTAGGGGTACAACTTAGGTGCACAAAACACTGCATACATACACAAAAACGGAGGAACATACGAGGGTCCATCGATTTCGTTTAACAGGACCTTGAGAATAGGCCAAGGTCCATGGTAGAGAGACAACAAGTTGAAAACACTTCCTGCTCATCAGACAACGAAGACATTTTGACCCATGCATAACCCTTTTTTTTTCTAAGCAGCATGAGTGAGTCGTTTGTTCGTGTGCTTGACCATAACCTCTTGTTGTTTGAGTATCGCTAAACGCATTCAAGCAATTTTTGGTACTTCATATCATAACCAGGCATGCCAGAGGTTAAGCCGACGTGCCGGTCAGACTGTACGTAGTCAATAAGACTATGAAATACCAGTAGTGGAGTGAATCAAGTGATTATATAGATTCCTTGCTATCGATAGGTCCTCGTCCCAATCATACGCAGCAATTGTATGAGTGTCTGGCTCATTCCATCTGCTTATCCAGTTAGTACTTTCGAATAGCGATTGAAGGTCGTGGTCAACTGCGCTTCATATTGTTTGGTAGTGGAGGACTTCCACTTTGAACTAATGAAGCGAGTATCCCGCTCACTCACAATCATTTTCAAGGGGGGTCATTCCATAATGTGGTGTTTTTAGAATAACCTTAATGACCAGTCCATTAGTGCATGGGATGGTACAAGAACAAAAGTGGCAAACTTGAAAAACCTGTCAACACACACTATAATATCAGAAAACTTTTGTTTTTCTTTCCTTGCCCATGTCGGTGAAATTAATGGAAACAGATTCACCGGACCCTCAGGAATAGGAAGGCGTTTGAACAAACCAAGGGGTTGTTGCCGATGGATTTTACTCATTTGGGAGACTTGATAACTGCTCAGAAACTAATATTATGCAAATCCCTTCATATCATGTCAATGAAACTTCTGCAACAAACTTGCATATGGTTTAGCACATTCGAAATAACCGCCATTATCGCGACATTCCAAGTGTTTTAAAATTAATTGCCTCAACATCAGGCATACATAGTCGGTCATGTTCTGTATGTACGTGGAAATCAGGCTGGCAACTAGGGTCAGCCAACAACTGAGTAAAGAGAGCCTTAAAAATGGGGTCTTCTTGCTTCAATAATGAACTTGCAAGGACTAGAGAAGACATGTAAAAACTTGACAATGAAATTCATATGTTTTGGATGACGAGATGGAGCATCTACAACGTAATTGTAACAATTTTTATTGTGCCAGAGTTGAAAGTCATACACATGAATCTCTTGATATTACCGGGTCAAGGTACTGGTGAAATTAAGTTGTGTCATAATCCACTGCAAAGTTTGACGATCCGAGTAAACTTTAAATTGGTGGGCAAGAAGGTAATGCTTCCAATACACCAAAGCTTCTCGAAACACGAAATGTCTGTGCTCGTGACTGGAGCTAAACAGATTGTAAGCTTCCTACTGATGTACTTGACAGGGCGCAATCCAGTCTCATCATCTTGCTGTAGAAAACAACAAAGTTAAATTGACTTGTATTTGTGGTCACAATGAAAGGGAGACCGAGGTTAGCGATGAGAAGGATTGAATAACTTATTAACACAATTTTCAATTTCTGAAATACGGTTTCACATTTCTTATTCTATGAAAAATAATTCTTACTTATCATTTGACTCAAGAGGAAGGCTATTGTTGAGAAAGTTCGAACAAATTTCAATATGACGCAAGACCCAAGAATGACCGTAGATCATGTACATTCACAGGTTGAAAGTCATTAGGTGATAACCTCTACCTTCGTTGTCGCGAAAATAATATGTGGAAGGTAAATAATGTTCTTTATCCTGAACTTTGATTTCTTCGAATATAGGTGCAACTTCTCCTCCCACAAGCTATTTAGGATACCTCACAAGTATTTCTCATGATCTTTCATGGACTTACCGACAATCAGTATGATCTCATCGAGTTACAAGACCACAAACTTGTTGAGTTCAGTTTTGAAGACTTGACTTATGAGATTTTAGAATGTGGTCGGTGCATTCCTGAGGCCTAAGGGCATGATTAACTTCAGTAGTTCATTTCGTATCTAAACTGCAGTCTTATATTAATCTGCAGGGTTGACTTCAAATTTCAGATCGATGTTGGAGAACACCTTTGCGACCAATTGCAACATGAAAGTGGTTATCAATCCGACGAAGATGGTCAACTTCATTTGGTTTTGTTCAAATCCTCAATAATCAATGCACATTTGTAGCTTCTTTTCTTTATAGGCACAAACATTCTAAGAGGTCCGTATTCATAATCATTGGGTCTGGTCCACCTCTTATCGAGTAGTTCTTCGGTCCGCCTTCGCAATTCTTCTTGTTCCACGGGTACACACAACCTCTAGGGGGCTGGTCGTTTGACAAGACCTCGATCTTGTGCGCGACAACACGTTTTTGAACATCACAAAACTTTGAAAACACTTCAGGATAGAGACAAAAGGTTGGTTTGAATGACATGACCAGATGTAGACCGATAAGTGGAAGATGATGAGGTAAATGTTGATGTAGATGATGTAATTGTTGGAGTTGATGCGAAAACAAAATAGATGGAGTAACACCTAAAGGTTTAACAAAAACAACATAAGAACATTCAGTCTTACTGCCAAATTCCTTACAAAACTTAAAGGAGATCGTGGAATGAAAATTCACAGAGGGTTTGCGAACCTTGTTCAATAATAGAGTGTGGATCTGACCCTCAAAATCTTCCAACATGAAATTGGGCTCCTTCCATTAATTAGACTTACAACAAGATTGCAGTCAACCCAATCCAATTAAAACATCAAAGGGACACGCATTGATATTAAGGGAAAACTTGAGGGAGTGTGTGATATATTTGCATTTGTCAAAGGTAGTACAAATATCTTTGACAACTCTTAAACATGTTACTATCCTTTGGTTGCCAACTTTGATCCGACAAGGATGCTGCAAATCCTCAACCTTCATCCCAAAATACGTCTTATGGATGTCACACGGGGAAAATAAAATCAGTTGTGAGTCAGTCTTATGACCCCGCTGACAATCAATGCATTAATGTACGTCGGTTGATTGAAAGTCATAAGTAGATAAACTTTATTCCTCGACACTCACCTTCCTTCTTGTATTGATTTCATCGAAGTTTATGGGCATGAAAATCAACATCTCTCTAGTAATTCAAAGACTTTACATAAGAGGAACATGTTTTTGCAGCCTTGTTATCAACATGCCATTGGGCTGACAAACTCTCTAAGTCCGAGTTGGGTCTTTTTTAAGACGAAAACATCCCCTCATAAAGTTCCCTTAGACTGCAACTATATATCGATGTGGGTTTCCAACAGGGAAGAATCCTCTGCTAATGCTCATGTGTGTTTGAAATATTGTCGTACCTTTCCCAACCAAGCAACAATATCTTGCTTGCCATTAAATATGTCTGTGATGGGTACCACCCTCTTATCATATGACATTTGATTAATGGGTATAACATTTGCAACCTCTACTATCGGTACATCGCATTAGAGTTAGGGTTACATGTGGAGGAGCAACGGTTTCTACAACAGGAGGATTTAGAGCATTATGCTATGACATAGAGACACCAGATAGCGTCGCAAGATCAATTATTTATTATCGTATGACTATGTCTCTTTGCTGCAGCTCAGCCTGTAACTCTTTGATGAGGTTGTACGGTCTTGTACCATAGCGTCAAGAGAACCGTCAGCGCTTGGAGTTGGGTGTTTGGGTAAATCCTAAGCTCCTTCTCATCTAACGTAGTCAGACCAGTTGTCTCTTTCAGATAGGCATTTTCATTAGCCTTCCTCTCCTTCTTTTCTCTTTCTCTCTTTGTTTGTTCTCTGCAGCAATTAGTTCTCCTGCAACTTGTCAATGTGCTCATCTAGGGGATAACAAGGTTGTACTCGCTCTCGGGAGTCGATGACTGCACATCTGCAGCCCCAAGGTCCCTTGTGGTACCATCGTTCTCTTGCCTGCTCATTGTGTTTGTCTCTTTCCCCTCACTCTCACTCCCAACTCCTGTAACTTGGTCTATGAATGCATCCAGTCAGCAATGCTCTTTCCTTCCTTCTTTCCTGCCTGCAAAAGAAAACTAAAAAAGATAAAAGAAACACTGACAGGGTCAAGGAAGGTAGAATATCCCTAGTTGGAGCAACAATTAATTCATACGAGAGAAAAAACAAACAAACAAAGGAATGCGTGTAATCCAACCAAAGCAAAACCAAACCAATTACCAATCGACTGCTTGCTAATGTAGAACAGAAAAGGTTACATTGTACTGCTGGGTCACATCATGAAATAATATATTGAAGCAGCAAATCAAGCAAGTGGGTACAAAATTGCAAAAAACACAACCGTACAATCATGGTCGATGTCACTTCACAAAAATGTGACATTGGATTCCTCTCCAAGGAGCCACTTGATAGGTCCGCCATGACTATCTTCTTTCCCCGAATACAATGTACAAACATTATAGCTGTATTTGAGGCATCTTTCCACCTAGATACAGCCGTAATGACCGAACGCTGTATTCGGGGGAAGAAGGTAGTTTTCAACTCGTCGTCTGTTTGAGTATCACCAGTTGGTTAAGAACATTAGCTCCCCTTTACATGATAGCTTCCCACACTTGGGTGTATATCCTATCCTATATGAAACCTACCCAACCTAGACTCACATAATAAGCATCCAAACAAATAAGTCCACAGATTGGAAAATACAAAAACTTGCTCCTATAAAAACACAAAAACTTACATCTAGAAAATAATGTTAAACAGGCCGAGATGAGCAACAAGCATCCACAAACATTATATTCATCCAACCACACATTCATGGGCATCCTTAGGTCACACGGGCACCTACCCGAGTCAGTTGACTTACACTTGAGATAGGTACTCTCTTCCACCTCTCACACCATACCTGTATTGTCTCCTTTTCCCCTCGGTAGGACTGTAGCCGGTCTCTTCGCATGTCCATTCTACTGTCCATGAAGATGATAAAAATCTTTTTTTTTTTTTTTCTTTTTTTTTTTTTTTTTTTTTTTTT